AAAAAAAAAAAAAAAACCAAGAAAGAAAGACAACTGTTAAAAGCTTCGGTGTGAATACAAATCACTCCATACCTACATTCTCTAAACCAAGCCATTGGCTTCCAAAGGTATGTTTTTCTCCTAACAAGGAAAAAAACATATAAACCAAAAATAGAGATAATAGCTGTTGCCAGAGTTTTGCAGACCTGTTCCTGCTTATCATTCTCCCTATAGTTAGCAATGCTGGGTTTCTTTTTTTTAATAGCAGATAAACAAAAAGCATAGTGCAAAGTACCTTATCCATATGCCAATCCTACTGAAATCTGCAGGATGTTTTTCTTAATGCTGTAAAAACTGGCTATAAAAAGACACTGTGCTACAGTGACTGCAGCTCCATTAAACCCTTTTTAACATACATATCACTTGGTTCCCAGTGACACTTTGAAGTCCTTTAAAACTCTGCATACTGGCTCATGAGTGCTTGCTGCAAAAGCAGAGTGCTAATAATAGGCAAGAAAAATCTTCCTAGCAGAGAGGTCTTTGGAATGGTTTCCGCTTTATATCTATAGCAAAATACAAATCTAAACAACGACACTTAGCAAGTATATAGATAGATCCCAAGCTGCTTGCAGGCATGTAAACCTGCAACGCGTTACAGCTCTACCCTGTAATGGGCTGTGTTATTTCCTTTCATTTGGCGAGATAACCCAGAATCGTTTGTAACACAGAGGTGGGCTTTGCGATACCTTATGCGTTAGTCAAGCTCTTAAACCAGTTAAAGAAAAACCCCAAAAGCTTTTAAAATACGCAGTCTGGCCAGAAAAATCAGGGATTTGCATGCATAGATTTAGAGACCAGCTGGGAAGGTGACCCCCCTCCCAGTGTTAAATCTTCCTCCTTCCCACTCAATTCAGACAGCAAGCCCTGCCTTTTGCCAAGCAGATTTTGTGTTACTTCCAAGTCCTTAAGACAGTAAGACCTAAAGCTGTCTTGGTACAGCAGTGAGGGAGCACATGATGTTGTCTCTTAATCTAAATAAGCGCATGAATGATGTTAATGGGAGGTAAAAACCACATCGGATCTGTCCCAAAGGAAGGGATTTGGTCATAAATGCTTCTCTTAGGCTTGTGCATGCGTGGGGGTCCCAGGTGGGGCTGGCTGGGGCTGTCATGGCCCACAGGAGCTCCAGGTCCCTGACGTTCACCTTGGGGGACCACAAGAGCCAGGAGGGCTGCAGGAGTGAACTCTGCAGAGGTGCTCCCGGAAACCCCACCAAGCACCTGCCTGCAGCACGACACACCTAAATAGAGTTGGGAAGGCAATCAACATTTTGTCTCGCTCCAGGCCTCCCTGTGTTACTTCTGAAGAGGGGGCGAGGACTGTGTAGAGCCAGAGGTGCGGTCGGGACACTGCAAGAGGGGAAACCCTCGGTGCTCTAGCAATGACCCAGCGCTGCAGACACACAGGTATTTGCACACTGCTATACAGAAGATGTAGGATCAACTGAATTTTTTCAAGGCTGAATTTGGACTAGTGATAATGCATAAATAAGAAAATGCACGCGTATACGCCATATACACCTCCCCACACGCGCTGCTGCTTCCTACCAAGGAAGGGGGGCCTGTAGTTCTCCCTGTTCAGTACACAGATGAGGAGGTATGTACATTGCACTCTCTGTAGGGCTTTGGTAAAATGATGCTCTGGAGGTAAGGCCTGCAACTCCTAGAAAGCCTGGACACACTGAGGAGCTTGCTCATCTCACCCTGCTTGATGCAAGAGGTTATTCCATCCTTCCAGTTCACGTTTCTCGGGGAGTTTTACTGCATGTGAGGGTCCACAGAGCTAAATGCCAGTTAGCATATTCCCACATGCTGGTCAGTAGCACGTGTGATGTGTGGGGGACATACCACGTCAGAGAGGGCTTTGGCTGGGGTCACCAGAGCGGGCTGCAGGGGCTAACGGACCATGAGGTGCCCCGCTCAGTAACTACTAACTCAAGCTCTCCAGTTGCACTCTCGAGCCTCTCTCAGTTTAGGCAGAGTTGAGAGAAACTTGCACACGTGTGTGGCTGCCAAAAACCCGAGGGAAAGCAGACGAAGCTGAGCAGAACCTAACCTGAATTTGCATGAAGGCAGAGCAGATGGTGGCAGGGCACGTGTGTAGCTAGTGAAGAAACACAATCCCCACGGCTGACCCCAAAACGGGGAGCGTGGTTGCCAGGGTTTGAAGGATCCACAACACTCCTCCATTTCTTGTACTTCCGTATTATTTCCTGACACCTAATGTGCATTGGCTTGGGTGATGGTGACAAATAAGCTAGGAGACAGGTAAGGTTTCAGCCTCCACCTTTGCTGCTCCCAATAGAGATGCAATGGAACTGAGTTAGGGTTTCTGACTTTCTGAATAAGGGCTTAAACACAATTAAAGAGTCACCTTTTCCCCAAAGGGGAAACTTTCATGTGATTGCCACTAGGAGTGTGAAATGAGATGCGAGGATGGAGTTATTCTCAACACTGCTTTCTATAATGGGTCCCTAAAGACCTATTTGTGTATATAGCAAATACATTGAAAAAAGCCCTCAAAAAGAAAAGGGAATGGAAAATACTTGCATGAAGCCCCAAAACACGACGTGTAAGCATCAGTATGTCATCTGTTAGGATTAGGGACATCTTGGTTGAAAAACAGAGACACTCCCTTGAAATGTGGAATAGTCATCTTACGAAAGGATATCAGCTGGCAGTGTATATTTATCTATCCCTTTCTGTCCAAGTCACTGCACACATTACTGCACTTCTGTTTTTTTCTTACTATATGGTTTGATTTCTGTTACATATTTATTTTTAAGATACATGCATTTTTTTTCCTATTTGTTACATTCATGCATGCATTTTTATGATGATTAAACATTATCTTGGAAGGTCTTCTTTCTCTCTCTCTCTCTCCTCTTTGACGTGTTGTTCAGCTCTTAAGGGAACAGACATAAGCTTTGTATTTTTGTGTCTGGAGAGATAAAACCTGCAGGAAAAAGCCTTTAGATCAAAGATCCTCTCAGTCCCTTTTCTTCCTTTTCTTCTCAAAACGTTGTCCTTTTTGCCCTTTGACTCTGAAGTTCCCACTGGTTCATTGCGTTGGTTATTTTTCATTACTGCTCTCCAAATTTCTCTGACTGTCATAATAATCTCTGCGGTTGGTGCATTATCACTGGCATGGAAGAACATTTCCAAAGCCCCATGTGGATTTGCTACTGCACCACAGCCAACTGAGTCATTCCCTCTGCCCCAGTTTCCTTATCAGTTGCTGCTTGCAGTTCAAGTTATGCATCTATTTCAGACTCTCTCTCCATCTCATTGTCATTCAAAGCTGCAGGGAAAGCATTTGAACCAATATTTTCCTACACTCACATCTGAAAATTTCTTCCAAGCTATTGCCAAGCTGTAGCTGAGATGATTATCCTTTATTCTGCAACCTTTAATGAAATTAACTGTCCCAGCTTGCAAGAGCTGTTGATATTGGCGCTCTTGGAAACGTAAATCACTGACACCACTTACTTCAGTTTTGGGTATATCAAAACATGGGAACAAGACTCTTAGGGCTGTCAAAAAGGGAACCCGTGAAACATGCAGCTGCATTATTGGCGGTGTAGGACATTCCCTTAGTTGATCAGTCTTAGTACAGAAAAACAAACCTGGCTGTTGTGTTCTTACTATGTGCAGACGACACTATAATGTTTTCTACAGAAGAGAATACTAAATATAGCAACCACCATTATTTGATACAAGATTGG